AATTGTTAAAGTAAATTTTATTTCTTAAAATAAGTTTGTGCTTCTAAATGCAATACATGCTTATAGGAATCCTCAAATTGTTTGACTTGTCAACCAGGAAGAATTGAAAAAGATTGCAAATGTATTGATGGATATTTTGAAACTGGATAAAAATTATGTTAATGTATTAAACTATTAATAATTAAATAGAATGCGCATTTTAATGTGCCACTTGTGTTTAAGATCCTTTTAATTGCAAAACTTGTAAAGGTAATAGATTGTAAGAACCATTATGCACATGTGAATCTGGATATTACGATGATCAATTGAATGAAGATTGCTAAAAATGTGATAGTACTTGTTTACAATGCAATATGAATGGTTGTTTATCTTGCTTTGCTAATAGAGAACTTAATGAAGAAATGAATTGTATTCCACCACCAAACTCAATTTGGTATGATGATACTCCTTGGTGTTCAAGTAAATTATTCCAAAATATTATTCCTAGCTTGTCAAGTTGCAGTAGTTAATTCATATTTATCAGATGACCTTAGTATGATTATTATCCATTTTGATTTTCCTTTGAATCCTAAGAGTTTCGATTCTTATATAGAAGTTAATAAATGCTCGTAATTATTTGAATTAGTATCTGTACAAAATTTTGGTTAAAATTCAGTCTGTACCATTAACTCTGAGGATAATAATGAATTATTTATATATCTAGGAGAAAACTCTAAAATGAATGTTTGTGAAGCAATCAAATTTAAAGATATTTCATTATCTCATATAAATTGCAAAACTACTTTAAAAACGTTTATCTTTGCAACATTATAATAACCAAAGAATCCATTACCTCCTAAAATTAATTATCATGTACCCCTTCATAAACTAAATCCTTATGCTGAGAATTAAGTATATTTACAATCAACTAAAAACAATGGAAATAGAAAGCTAATAAACATTTATTGGAGTTGTTAGATTGAATCTGGCGAATCTAGCTCTATGCTTAATTAATTTTTGGATTAAATTAACTTTCTCTAAGAATAAAATTTATTAATACCAACACTTACTTTACCAAGTGATGCAGTATTAAAATTTAGGATATAATATTAAAATTTTATCCTTATTTCATCTTATTCTGAATTTACAATTTACACTCATGCAGGAGATATTCCATAAATTAATATAGAAATGAAACCCTCATATTTTTTATATGAAACAATTTAAATTGGGGTTTCTGTTGGTACTTTAGTAAATTCAATTTCAGATGAGTCTTCTAAATACTAGATTTAGCTTATAGAAATTGATAGATATCCTTAAAAGTCATCTTCATCAAATTTGAATATTACAATTAATTCAAACTCCTTTGAAATGGTCTATACAACTATTCCAAGATATACTTTAAGCAAAAATTCAACTTATACATTTTAAGTCACTGCAACTAATGTAAATTCTAACAAATCTAATAATTTATATTTTACTTTTGAAACTAAAATGGCTGGATTGTTTTGTTAGTTCAACAATCAAGGAATTCAGAATATTAGAAGAGATTTAAATCTCTAAATATAATGTGAAGATTTTGATTCAAAACATGAAAGGTAAAGTGATCCAGACTTAAATATTGAAGTAGCTTGTAAAGATTTATCATTAAATACTTCATGCAAAAATGAATAATAATAAATAATTAATGTAAATAAAACTGATTCTTTTCAATTCATTAAAAAGAATACGATATCCGCCTTTACTGTCTAAGAATGGACAGTAACTGCTAAAAAATTTGAATAAATTTTTAATTTTACTTTTGTTATTGTTTATCTTGATGATGATTTCCCTTAATTAGAATTATAATTCAATAAAGGTTATCTAATGAGAAAAACCAATAATTATGAATTACTAAATTTTACATATCTAATTCCTTTTGAAAAGAAAATTCATTTATTAGATCTATCAATTACAATTATTTATGACTATTAGATAATAGAAATATTGCAACCAAAATTTATTTCTCATCACTTCAAGATATTTAATAGCATTAAAGAATTAAATTTTGGCGACAAAATAAATCTTAAATTTGCAGCTTAATATACTAATAATATCATGCCAAGCATAAAAAATATAAAATTATCTATTAATTAGCCTGCTAAATGTTCTAAATTACTTATTAATCGTTAAAGCGACTTTGCACTTACTGATTTTTTAGTAGCAACAACTTGTGAATAATCAAATGATTCTCCTTATAAATATTAGCTTAGATAATTCTTGATAGAATCTGATTTAACAGATTTTTTAAATGGAATATCAGATAATTCGTTAATTTTCTATCCATTTTAAACTTAAAATTAATTCTCAATTTAAGCTCCTTCTTCTATTGACTCTACAAAAATTGGAATTTTAGTAGAAGTTCTTGATAATGGGGGATCAATAACTCATAAATTTGAAAAAATTTCAATTAAACCTGCAAAAATAAATTGTTTATCAATACAATTTAAAAATTTAACTTTATAAAACAAAATAACTCTGCTATTTGAAGCAATGAATCAAAAATGCGATGAGCTTCATTAATAAATTTATCTTGATTTGATCAAATCTTAAATTTTGCCAGAAAAGAATGCGAATATATTGAAATTTTAAGCTAATAAATTATATTAATAGTTCTTAATCTCTTAAGAAGAAAATAAAACTAAAAATCGATTGTTGTATGAAGAAATTCAAAAAAAATGTTTAGATCTAAATTCAAACCATTTATTTATTACTTAAAATTCCACATAACTTGAAGTAAATATAACTCAAAAGATAGAAAATTTCAAAAAAAATAGTGAAGATTTTAATAGAATTTAAAAATATTTTATTAAAATGAAAAAACAATGCGAATAGGAGCTTTAATAAAATTCATATATTTGGAATGAATAAATCTTTTAATAATATTTAAATTCGTAAGATTGCTTAAAAAGTTTAATATACTATCTTGATGATATCTACTCTGATTTTTCATTAATAAATATAAAAGATGAAACTATAGATCAAATTATTGAGGAGTTGTTAAGATTTTTTGATATAATTGCAGAAGAAACCCAAAATATTATATTAGTAAACGAAAAGCCTTTAGTTATTAAAGGTTTTGAAATTATTTGGAAAATCAAAAGAAGAACTAAATAATTATTCAATCAATAATTTAATATCCAATAAACTTAAGAAGATTA